CTGCTGGGTACAAGCAAACAACAACAACGAGTCCACGTCTAGTGCTGGGTACAAACAAACAACAACAACAAGTCCACGTCTACTGCTGGGTACAAGCAAACAACAACAACGAGTCCACGTCTACTGCTGGGTACAAGCAAACAACAACAACGAGTGCACGTCTACTAGCAGTAGACGTGGACTCGTTGTTGTTGTTCGCTTGTACCCAGCAGTAGACGTGGACTCGTTGTTGTTGTTTGCTTGTACACAGCGGGTACAAACAAACAACAACAACAAGTCCATGTCTACTGCTGGGCACACAGCAACATGATAGACAAACAACAACAAGTCCACGTCTACTGCTGGGTACAAGCAAACAACGAGTCCACGTCTAGTGCTGGGCACACAGCAACATGACAGACAAACAAGTCCACGTCTACTGCTAGATATACAGCAACATGACAGACAAACAACAACAAGTCCACGTCCACTGCTGGGTACAAACAAACAACAGCAACAAGTCCACGTCTACTGCTGGGTACACAGCAACATGATAGACAAACAAGTCCACGTCTACTGCTAGGTACAAGCAAACAACAACAACGAGTCCACGTCTACTGCTGGGTACACAGCAACATGACAGACAAACAACAACAACGAGTCCACGTCTACTGCTGGGTACAAGAAAACAACAAGTCCACGTCTACTGCTGGGCACACAGCAACATGCCAGACAAACAACAACAAGTCCACGTCTACTGCTGGGTACAAGAAAACAATAACAAATTCATGTGTACTGCTGGATACACACCAACATGACACATAAGTAACAAGTCCACCTCTGCTACTGTGTACATAATTGGCTTTTATAGTTTTAATTAATCATTTAGAAAATTAAAACCGTTTTATAACTATGCTCCACTCATAAGACAGATATATAAACTTTAGTAAGAAAACCGTTTTATAACCAAGCATTTAGTTTGAATTTAACGCATGCGTTATCTTCTGTAAGAAATGGAAAGGTTCAACAAATGAATAAAGGGGTGATTGAAATGAACTGTCGAAAGTGTTATAAAGCTTAGAAATTAAGTCTAATATGAAAAACTCTGAAAGTTACGTACGATCTCTCCCTTGAAACATCAGAGATGACGCAAAAAAAAAAACATCTCAAACGACGTAGAATAATGAATAGATTTACACTCGTGCTTTGAACTCACCTTTAATTACTTTTAGTTAAAAATATTGTTTTCTTTGATATAATTGTAAAAGAAAAATAACGGATAAAGAAAATAAAAGACACAAATCTTGGTACTACTATAGCTACAAAGATATTTATACTATAGCGTGCGGTCTACACAGATACTGTCATCATCACCGTTGTAATGATTCACATAATTTCTTGCTAAATAATTTATATCTATCAACGGCAAATAATATTAAATTAATAAGTTGTGCGTTTCAAATGAGTACCTTAAATTTAAGTTATAATTGTGCTAGTTTTGATTGGTGGAATTTATTTCATTCCGATGATATTAGCCCCCAAAACGTTATGTAATGATAGCTTGTAGTTTATTAGTTTAAAAGCGTTATTTATATTTATAATAACTGGCGCCAATTGTAAATAAACGAAAGTAATCAAAGAAATGCCCCCCAGTGGCACAGCGGCATGTCTGCGGACTTACAACGCTAGAAACCGGGTTTCGATACCCGTGGTGGGCAGAGCACAGATAGCCCTTTGTGTAGCTTTGTGCATAACTTCAAAACAAACAAACAAACAATCAAAGAAATAGTACGTCAGTATATTGTTATCTAAGAAGCTTAATTTCAAATCGAATACACGAGAGTTCACGAGGCCAAACAATTGTGTTTATGTAGGTTATAACACTGGTGATCGTTCACTCTTGTATAGACTCCGCCACAGGAAATAGTTCTTAAGAATATTCAAATATCTTAATCGCTCAGAAAATATTTCCCCCCAAAATATGATCTATAGAATTTATATGACACAACAACAACAAACAAACAAACAATACTGTTCTATTTATATAGTTGCAGACATCAAGTAAAGATTTCGGTGCTACTGAAGCGTGCGATCTACACAGATACACCGATTTTGGAAAATAGAGTTTAATGAAAGTTGATGTTCGATTAGTTACGTAACTTATGAACGGTGTTCTAACGAAAGGGGAAAATACTTTTTGTAGACAGCTATGAATAATAAGACTATTTAATCCAAGATCTTTTTATTCAAAGACAAAACTGGCTATAAAAAAAAACTAGATTCGATTCACAAATAAGTAGATTGTTTCAACACAATCAGAAGTGAATTTATAAACATTTCTTTGGCCTTTAAAAATTTGTAATACTATTCAATATTATGTTCTTTGTTTGTTTGTCTATCAGCACTCTGTCTACCGCGGGAATTAAACCGCAGACTTTAGTAAACTAGCCATTGACCCACCGGGGGGAGAGCTTTGTATTTAAAGAATCTGAACAATACCCCTGTTTTTCCTTAATAAAATTGTGAACTCTGAACTTTGTACAGATACAGGGTCGTTTAATGCCGATCATTTTGAATGAGAGAAAATACATAATTTTTAGAGAATTATGTAAAATCGCTACAACTGTTCGTGATTTAACAAGAACAGAAATGCTGTTTAAAAATGAATATCAAATGTGGATTCGCTGAGTATAATTACAATAAATAATTAAAAACAACGTTTTATATTTACACAATAAAAACTTTATTGAAACCGTACGGCTTCCACTTTAAGATAGAAATATCACTCTACACGTACATGTTTTTATTATATAAGTATAAAACTTTGTTTTTAATTATTTATTATAATTTAAAAAATATTAAACACAAGTGCCGGTAGTGCATATTTATTTCCCCCGTTGTTTACCCCCAGTGGCACAGCGGTATATCTGCGGACTTACAACGCTCGAAACCGGGTTTCAATACCCGTGGTGGGCAGAGCACAGATAACCTTTGTGTAGCTTTGTGCTTAATTAAAAAAAACAAAGAAACAGAACAAACCCCCCTTTGTTTCAGAGTTTTACGTGGAACAGTTACCTTCAACACACATGAAACATTCCTAGTCAACAGCACCCACCACCTACTTCCGGGCTACTCATGAGTGACCGAATAGTGGGATTTGACCGTCACTCTCGTAGCGCAACCACGGTTCTCATAGTGCAGAGAGCATTTTTTGCGTCAACGGGTCCTCAAATTTGAATCAGCGCATTCACGCAAAATTCTAGGCCACGACCGGCCCAGTTATCCCACATCAGAATGTTAAATCGGATATCTCATATATAAAAATTTATCCAAAGCGTTTGTCAGATTAAGAAGAAAAAAAAAAGAATGATGCTTTCAGAAAACTAACAATCAAAACGTGATTATGTAAGAAAGTTAATAAAACTAACATTATTTTCTTCGAAAGTGTGACATTTTAAGCCTATTTTTTCTACAATATCATCTTATATGCTGGTAAATATAACATACAAACAACAACAAAAAATAGGCAAAGTAATTAAGTCGATTAACGATACGTGGCGCTGAAACTTTGATTAAAAGTCCTTGTGTTTCTTTAATCCTCATGCACAGAGAAAACGATCGCCCGCCCTGTTTCTTTCGATATTTTCAAAATTCTAACTTATAGCGCTAGAAACCGGGTTTCGATACCCGTTGTGGGCAGAGCACAGATAGCCCATTGTGTAGCTTTGTGCATACTCACAAACTAAACAAACAAACTCATCCTATGTAAGACTTCAAGGTGGTTCTCGTGACAGCATAATAAGATGTTCATATTCGCGTAGAGTTTGATAGCACGATTAACGCTCTTGTCTACCGGTGGGACAGCGGTAAGAGTACGGACTTACAACCCTAAAATCGAGGGGGGTTCGATTCCCCTCCGTCGTGTACCCATCAGATAGTCCGCAATCTGAGGGTCGCAGGTTCAAGTTTCATCCTCTAACATGCTCGCCCTTTCAGTCGTGGGGACGTTATTATGTTACGGTGAATCCCACTATTCTTTGGTAAAAGAGCAGCCCAAGAGTTGGCGGTGGGTGGTGTTGATTAGCTGCCTTCCCTCTAGTCTATCACTTTTAAATTAAGAATAGCTAGTGCAGTTAGCCCTCGAATAACACGGTGGTAAGTCTGCGGAAATATAACGCTATAAACCGGGTTTCAATGTCCGTGGTGGGCACGGTACAGATAGCCCACGTGTAGCTTTGTGCTTAATTCCAAACAATCGAACAACATTTGCGTGAAATTAAAAAAACATTAGGCAATTTCAGTTTATCAAGAAGAAAGGACTTGATGTTTGTAGTTAGCCCTCGAGTAGCTATTGATGTTTTGTTAAACACCTTACGTGTATTGATGTTTTGTTAAACACTTTACATGTATTGATGTTTTGTTAAACACTTTACATGTATTGATGTTTTGTTAAACACTTTACGTGTATTGATGTTTTGTTAAACACCTTACGTGTATTGATGTTTTGTTAAACACTTTACATGTATTGATGTTTTGTTAAACACTTTACATATATTGATGTTTTGTTAAACACTTTACATGTATTGATGTTTTGCTAAACACTTTACATGTATTGATTAGTTTTAAACAACTTGGCTACAGCTCCATGAACGACTTTGAACGTTTGGTAATATAAAAGAACAACCAGTTAATTCCCAAGTGACACAAAATCCCTTACATTACGTATTGATATCATAAATTATTAATAATGACACCCCCCACCAACTCGGCGGCCTTGAGGATGATTCTTAACACACGGTCGTTCCCTATTTTTCTCCGTTTGTCAGCCTTCCTCAATTGTCTCAATAAAGGTCAAATTGTAAGAAGCGAAAGTAAAGCAGCTTTCCTACTGGTTCAAATCATGGAGGAGGAGTGAATGAAACTGTGTCACCGTTATAAAAGTCACAAAGGTGAATATTTTCCTCTTGTATCAATCGCTTTTCTTGCCGAAGCATCTAAAATTCGAAGGGATATATCACTTACAAAAAAAAGGCTGAGGCTCGGATTGAGCTAAAAGATAGTAAGACAGGAGTAAGTTTTATTTTAATAATTGTATTTGTTTTAAATAGTTATTATTCACTGACTAGCTTAAATTAGGGTTAGTGTAAAACTTATACATGTAAAAATCATGAAAGTACCTATCAGTGAACTTTATTGCTTATTATACCATAGTGGTTCAATACGTTTAATATAGATCTATTACATACGGAGTAGAGTATATTACGTCAGTGGCTTCTCCAATGAAGGTAGGGGTGGGAGGCTCGGAGTGCGAAAGATCCTCCTGTTTCAACAACCAGTATACAGTGATTCCAGGGACTGCCATATTTGTTTGCAGGTTAACAACAGGTTTGTTTGCTTGTGTTAGATCAAAGCTACATTGGACTATCTGCTCTGTCCATTGCGGGGAATCGACCCCCGGATTCTAGTGTTGTAAGTCCGTAAAAACTTACTGCTGTTCCAACGCGGGGCTTAACAACAGGGACCAATATTCTTAGCCCAACCATAACGTATTAAAACATACTAAACGGACATTGTCCCTTTTCTAAATACTGTACCTTTCTACATATTTGTAACCAGCCATAACTGCAAAACACATAATGTGAAACCGCAAATTTGTATGCATCTCCCCATGGACTCAACAAACAACCATGCCAAATTTGGTCAAGATCCATTAACAGGGGGGCGAAGTAGTGGTAAAAAACGCCCATAAAAACCGCAAAATGCAAAGCTGAAAATTTGTATGTACCCCCAAATGGACCTAAGTAACCCCCATACCAATTTTGGTGAAGATACATCCACACCCTGCGAAGTAGTTGCATGGACAGACAACAAACAGTACTGTAATATTTGTATAAATACGCTTCAGAAGGCAATGGTTGTTGGTTCACACTTACACACTCCTAGCCGGTACGATACGGTGTTTAAACTGTATAATTCAAAAGTCATTAGGTATACGTTATATAATAAGGTGCAAAAAACGTTATTAAACTAAGTCTACATACGTATAATTTTGATGTTAAATATATAATGTCCACTTTATTTTAAAAACTTACATGAATGTGTTCTGTAACATAACTTTGTCTTTACCAAATCCTCGTCATAACACGAGTAGTTTTACGTGTGGGGTTTAATATATATATTCTTACATACCCGTACACCGAAGAGCCATTAACAGAAATGACACCGATAAGAAGATCCTGACGACAGCCTTGTATATTATGTTATTAATCAAAGAAAATATTTGATTTAAATAAATGAAAATAGTTAAGTTTTTAATTAATTGAATAAAAATGCTCTGTAAACACTTAATTTACAACGTTTCGCCCTTAGGCCTACTTCAGGCAAGTATAGTAATTAATTGAATAAAACTGCTCTGTAAACACTTAATTTACAACGTTTCGCCCTTAGGCCTACTTCAGGCAAGTATAGTAATTAATTGAATAAAACTGCTCTGTAAACACTTACTTCACAACGTTTCGCCCTTAGGCCTACTTCAGGCAAGTATAGAATTGTAATTCGATCATTGCCTAAGATGGGTTCTTAGGCCGCAACGTCGCAAAATAAACTAACTTAGTAAACGTTAAGAAACCATTTTTGTTTAATTAATTAAAACGTTAACGGGTTTATATATATTTGTTTTAGTATATTTTATTTTGCTATGATTTTACATCCGCTATGGTTCAGATCGATTTTTCATGCTCCATTGCTATTTTTTGAAGTAATACAAAGCTATGCCTTCAAATTATAAGAACTGTTTGTTCAAACAACTTACTTTTTCAAAATTACGCTCTAAACATTTGGAAGCGTATATCAGTGGTAAATAAACCAATAGTAACAATAATGTTTGATCAGTGGTATTGTTACTATTGGTTTATTTGATCAAACATTGTTACTATTGGTTTATTTACCACTGATAATGTTTGATCAGTGGTAAATAAACCAATAGTAACAATAATGTTTGGTTTTGTGTTTACTTACTGATTAAGTATATCTTATTACAATTTACAGTTTTTACAGTAAGTAGGATTTGTTTTTGGAACAGGTACGACGTTTCGATCACTAGATCTCAAGTACACAAGTTTTAACGGTAAAGTTCTGTGAGAATGATCGCACCAGTGATCGAAACGTCGTATCTGTTCTAAAAACAAATCTTACTTACTATAAAAGCTGTAAGTTGTAATAAAACAATAATGTTTGTCTCGTTCCGTAGAGTTTTAGTTTGCTATATACTTTTGCTTTGGTAGAATCTGTTAAAAGGTAAAACGTTTCTTTAGAAATGCACGCAACGAAATCAATAGCAATAATAACGTTTGTTTCGTTCCGTAGAGTTTTAGTTTTCTACATAATTTAGCTTTAATAAAACCTGTTGAAAGGTAAATATATTTATTTAGAAAAGAACGTAACGTGAGCGATGTGGTCGTTTCCATTAGATATAAATATATTTTAACCTTTAATAAGTTACACCTATGTCATAAATATCGTAAGCTACATTCGTGATTTAGAAAACGACTGTCGATGGTTCTTGATATCAGTAAATTTTTATATGAGTACTTTGCAAAATGTATATGTTAAGTTTCTCTGCAAGACTTTGTGGATCGTCAGTAAAGCCAAACATCCTAGGGCTCATTAACTGTCTGTCCCTGTGATATTCATAAACCTGGTATCTTCCAAATCATTGGAACAAAGCTGCATCATGATTAGTGTTAGCGAACTCATTAAGAGATTCAAAATTGAACATATCTAACACTTTTCTGAAACGGTTGGTGACGTCAGCACCTTCACCAGCAGATTAAACATTTTATTCAGTGGAATTGGATATAGAGGTCGTTGTATGTTTATAATTTCAGGTTGTCACTTGTTTAGATCAACCAATACGTACATATATAAGTGCATAGTGGAGTATGTGTACCATGAGACACCATGTGATCAGGAAACTCATCACTCGTTTAGCAACTTACGGCCCTTTCCGTTTTGATTTTTCTTTTTCTTTTTTGCTTACTGTATAATAAAAAATAAAAATTAATTACATAAATCACAAACACAATTCCGCAGAAAAACGATAGCGAGAAAAACAAAAACTTTAAGATAACAACAAATAAATCGTGTTTCTTTGATGTAAGAATTTCCAAAGAAATTCAAAAAACGAGTTATGAAATTGAAATTATTTATCAGTTCAGAAACCATCTGTATTTCTCATGCTATTAGCGTCATCTTTTTAATGAACGATATGTTTAAATATTCTTTCGTTTCCTTCATACATTTCATATACACATCATATTATAAAGTTGTACAGGAAATATAATGGTGCTTTAATTTGGTAATTTATTGAGTGTAGTGCCACCTAGTGGTGATTTAATACATTATTTTCCGGTGAAGGCCAGTATTTCTTCGTAAAGTGTTTGGAGCGAGTCTGATGAACCAATATATAATGATTTATCAAGTTATGATAGATATTATTCTTAGTGATATCTTATAGGAATTCAATAGTAAGTTATATAACATTTACGACCTAAGTTTGAATAGAACATTTCAGAGTTTGATACGTTAGTTGAACTTAAAGTGGCCAACATTCGCGGCAAATGCAACATGTCCCCGACACGCAATTCCAACATGGCCAATTTTGGCACTAGAAAAATTGTGAAATTCTGAAAATTTTCTATATCACTGCTGGGGACCTGCAAGAAGATATCTTTGTACCAAATCCCATGTAAGTTGGTTGACATACACGTGAATAGTTCACATAAAACCCAAATTGTGGTTTCTTCACTGAAAAAAATTGAGCAAAGACAAATATTCCGAAACTATCTATGTCTCTATTTGGGACCTGTAAAAATAATCTTTGTACCAAATCCCATGTAAATTGGCCGAAATACAGCGGAATAATTGTAAACAGTTATAGAATTATGCTTTTTATGTCATCTTTACCCCTATAATTACTAACAATAGTCAAGTCCATCATTTTTGTTTGTCAATGTGTGGGATCTGTAGAAAAGTATCTTTGAACCAAATCCCATATAAATTGGTCAAATACGGCCGAGTAATTGACCCAAACCCCCAAAATTGTACTTTTTTTGTGAGCTCTGATCCCCCACCCCCTAAAAAACTCAAAATGGGCAAATCCAACTTTTTTATTTGTAAATATTTTGGGCTCATGAAAATTTATATTTGTGCCAATTGCCATCTTGATTGCTGATTTTTGGGTTGTTTTACCTTTGACGCCATAAAATCAGTAAAAAGGCCTAAATGAAAACGGCATCTTGGACCAAGGTATAATTATACCAAGTTTAAAGTCATTCTGCCAAGAAATGAAGAAATAGTGGTCGATTGAAAAATATTTGAAATAAAAAAAAACAACAATAGAGAAAATAAGTATGTCTGTCTGCGGAGACATAATCACAAAATTAATAATATATTAATATATATTTATTTATCCCCATCTAGTGGTGACTTTATAAACTAATTTTTTCCGGTCTAAAATCGACTTTGCTTATTTTCAATAAATCGTTAAAAGGAGTTTTGCTTCTTTTTGGTAATTATTTTTTCTAATAACTCTGATGCAGTGTGGAAAAATCCACTAATTTTTCACTGAACTGCCGGCAGAATTTACCAAAACTTTAAGATTGTGATTTTAAAAATACTCAACTTCGCGTCTAACTCCTTTTTTTAATATTTTTTCTCGGGTTCTTCTCTTACTACAGAGTTGTGAAATACCTTCATTCAATCAATAATTTTAGTTTAAAAAAAAGATCATAGTTTTAAGAATATGAGTGAATCATGATTAAGATTGATCCCGTATAACTCAGCGGTAAGTCAGAAGACCTATAAGGCTAAAAATCGAGTTTCAATAGCCAGAGTGGACAGAGCACAGATAGCCCATTGCGTAGCTTTGTCCTTAACATCAAACGATGACTACGTTCAATTTATAAATTTAAATTTTCATAATATGTTACCCATTGGTATCATTTGTACTGATAAACTGATGAATTACATAGACGTAGCCAGGAAGGGGGATGCAATCAGTTTTTAGCCTCCCTCCCCCTCTTTCCCGAAATTTCAGAGGAGAAAATTTTCATAGTTTTGTTTTCTTACTGCCGAATTCCCATTTCAGCCTATAAGCATTTGGCTTAACACTGAAGGTTTGACATAAATTCCTGGTCGTTGATATGTTTCTCTGTAGTTACTTGGGCCCGGCATGACCAGGTGGTTAGGGAACTCGACTCGCAATCTGCGGGTTGCGGGTTCAAATCTCCGTCACACCAAACATGCTCGCCCTTTCAGCCATGGGGGCGTTATAATGTGACGGTCACTCCCACTATTCGTTGGCAAAAGAGTATCCCAAGAGTTGGCGGTCTTACACTGCTAAATTAGGGACGGCTAGCGCAGACAGCCCTCGTGTAGCTTTGCGCGAAATTCAAAAACAAACAAACAAACTGTAGTTACTTATTCTTTAAGTTATAAAAAAAAAGAAGAAAAGTTGTAAATAAATTCCTTTAAATATTATTTATTTATTTAAAAGCTTGATTTATTTACAATAGCTTAGATTTTTCCTCTATTTTCCACCACGCAGATAGTTACATTTAGTATATTTTTGACCAAAAACTGAAGTTTTACGGATATTATGATATTATCATTGTAAAGTTGTATTCATAAAAAATACTACAATTTTTTGTGAAGGTTTGTTTGTTTGTAATTATGCACAAAGCTACACAAAGGG